CCAATATCCGAGTTTTGAGGACACCGCCCGGTCTCTGGGTACTCCACCCGAAATAACCGAGTTTTGAGAACACTGCCCGGTCCTTAGGTACTCCACTAGAACCTATGAGTTTTGAATACACCGCCCGACCCCTGGATACTCCACCCAAATCTATGATATACCATATACCTTACCTGGTTATGGTCTATATCATATCATTACTAACGACTAATCCAAGCCTTAACATTTAATCATCATATATCAAGCCTTAGCATTTAAACATCATATTCCATGCAAAGTATACATATATAGGGTGGTCGGGGCCGGTTCTACCTTTAACCGGGCCCTGAAAGGAATTTTATCAAAAATCTGCTCCAAAACCCAAGACCGGAACGGCGCTGGTTCACTGCCAGACCGGAGCCGGTTCACTTGCAAAATCGTGAACCGGCCACTGTATCGGAGCTGGTTCAGGCCCCTGGTCGACGCTGGTCCTCTTTGTCCCGAGTCAACAGCCCGTTGACCCCCTCCCAGAACATACTCTGATTGCTCCGAAACATACACAATATGTATTAACCCTTAAACAATAAATAAATGCCATTTTGGCCATTCAAAACATCACATATGTTTTTATATGCATTTTTATTTAATTACATGCATAATATACCATTTTAGTTCACATAAGCCTAATCACCTTGGCTAATCACATGCTTAAACTCTTTTAAGCATCATAATGAGTACATATAACATTTCTTTAGGTAATCTCATACTTCACCCAAGAGTTATAAGACATTACGCCGTCCACTCACCTCGAATGAGCTTTAAGAAGTTCTACCCTTCTCGGTTGAACTCCGGTGATAACTCCGGTGACTCTTTCAACTCTGTGAAAGCACTATGAACACCTTAGACACGTTCCTAACAAGGTTTTAACATCCCAAAGCTCATATTAATGCAAATAACCTCTAAAAGGTTATTTTCCGGTGAACCGGTCACTTTGGCTTCTAAGTCTGTTCTTGGACTTATAACCACCTTCCAACCCCCCCTCAATTCTACACATCTAAACAATACTATGGGTCCTCCGTATGATGTATAAGTGCTCCGTTTATGTTATCTTAAGTGCTCCGTTTTTGTTATCTTTTTTTCGTTTATGGATTTTGGATTTTTTTGTTGCATTTTGTTTGCGCGGGTTGACTCTTGTTTGGTTTTTATTTTTGTTGTGGGTCAAGTTCAGAATAGGATAAGTGACAACCGGCAAGGATACTAGATCGATCATGGTTATCTTAAATTGCTCATATTACTCCTGAGTAGGTAATTGACTCAACCGAGTCTAATCCAAGGCGGATGATCAAGTTTTGGCCAAGGCGGATGATCAAGTTTTGGTTTCTGGTTTTACTGACTTGTCTCTAGAGTCTGGTCTTGATGTTACCATTATGATATTTTAATATAAGTTGATTTACCTCAAAAAAGGTAATTGCAATTATTATACTTTCGTTAAAGTAGAATGATTTCGGTAAAAAGGTAATTGCAATTATTATGCTTTCATTAAAGAAAAATGATTTCGGTAGAGCATTTGTGATGTACCGTATGTTGTAATATATGACACAATTCTATTTCGTCAAGTATGATGAATATAATATTTTAACTTTATTGCATACTACTCCCTCCGTTCCAATATAAAAGGCACATTTGCGTTTCCACACATTTTTAGGGTGAACACTGTTTGACACTGTTTAGACACTGTTTGGCACTATTTGGACACTATTTGGCACTATTTTGTTTGCCAAAAAGGAAAATGTGCCTTTTATACTGGGACAACCCGAAAACGAAAGCGTGCCTTTTATATTGGGACGGAGGGAGTATCTTTTTTTCTTTTAGTTGAAATTTTTACACTATTCATATATTTCACTTTCACTACATTTTATATATTAGTAGTTCAAAAGTGTTTTTTTAAAATATTGGTGAATTCATCTCATTAAAATTTACAAATTTTCATAATCTGTTTTTTTTTTTAATTTTTTTTAGTAATAGAGAAATAAATATAATGAATATCAAAATCGTGCATTAACAAATGTAAAAAACTTTAAAATGTTGCATATTTGTATAATCAAGTATAAGACACAAAAAGTATGTATTAACAACGTTCAACTATAAACATATGCTTCATTAATCATTCAATTGGACAAAAAATATATTGTTGAGCATCTTTGTTTCCTTGACCATGTACATCTCACTCATCTTTTGAAAGTCATCTTGGCATTTCATCATACTTTTTGAACATCATCTTGTGATAATTCTTTTGTTAATAAGATGACTCGTCTGCAAGTGAGTCATGTAACTTAGATATGTCGATATGTTAATCGAGGAAAGGATAGAAAGAGTACATCAATTTGTATGAGATGGAGTAAAGAGTACAATATACTGCATTTGATATTTCTAAGTACACAAAATCGGGGTTTTAGTGTTAATTGAGTAGAACCTTTAGATTAACACCTTAATACAACTGAGTTGACTAACGAAAAGCTAATAGGTTGACTTCATGAAGGTCGAAGCCAACCCTTAGCCCATTGGTTGACGCCAATCCCTGCAAGTGGACTTCTCTTTGGTCAATACACCCAAACACGGAGCTCGGTACCCCCGCAGGTCGATGTCAAAACCTTGCTCGACTTGCCCCTCTTACTCAGCATTTCATTAGCGAACTTAGCCATATTTATGTGTTAATCGAACATGTGTACTCAATTAACACTTAAAAACCCAATTTGTGTACTTAGAAATATCAAATGCAATATAATGTATTCTTTACTCCACTTCATACAAATTGATGTACTTCATCGACCATTTCCTCTATGTTAATCGTAAGGATCACTTAACGTTGTGAGTCATGTAAGGATGTTTTTACTTGGACTGTAATTTGTCCTAGACCAGACCAGACTAGACCAGACTTGGGTAGTTATAAAAACATCCTAACTTTACTTAGAGATCACTTATAGTTATAACTTATAAGTCTTATAACAAATAACTTTGTATTCTATCAATAAATGCTTTTACGCAACATTGTTCATTTTGTGAGCCAAGCAATAAATGACTCGTCTGCTAGTGAGTACAGTCGAACAATAGACCTAAACATAAGTCGAGAACTCAGAACCCCTTTGGTGGCATGACCCTAGTTTTCGCTGAGTTTTATCAACCAGTTTTTTCTCCAAACACGTATCTTTTCATTTTGTACCTTGAATTGTGTAATAATAAGAAAAAACAAGGTTGAAGTTACTTTTCATTTTAGCTATTTTTCATATAATTTTTTCTTTACTTATTATTAAATAAAAATTGATGGAGTTATGGGACTAGGCCCAGAGCCAAATCGGCCCAGAGCCCCGAACTTGGACCCGTGGATCCAGATCCACAACCTGGAGCATGCCTACCACCCCAACGGGGAGCCTGCCAGTCCGGCCGACCTGCCAGCCAGGAAAAATAACGGTCAAGCAATCAATGCGTTGTTTAATTATGTATTTAATTCCTAATATATTGTAATTAATTAGTCATTATTATCGATAGCAGTTACAATTTGTATACGCCTATAAAAGGGCAAGTTGTAATCAAGATTATGAGGCGAAATCCTAAATGCTATTTCTGGCTCTCAAACTCTCTAGCTACTTTCCATATTCGTATTACTTTCTACTTTCCTGCTTGAGTGTTCTTTCATAGCTTTCCTAAAAGCCTACAAGCGTTCTATTTTGGACCAACAAAAATATTGGCAAAAAATAAAATAAAATAAAAATATTGATCACTAATAAAAACACTAATTATTGAGATAGTAATACATGAATCATTATTTATTTAGGGAAAAGTACGGAAAATGTACTTGTGGTTGGGCACATTTTCAGATAGGGTCATGTGTTTCATTTTTGTCACAAGAGGGTCCTGGCACCTGACACTGTTAGAAATCGTCGGAGGGAGACGATGAACAGTAACTCCGATTTTCAAAAGTGCCCGGAAAATTAAAAGAAAAATATCGGAAGATGCGCCTCAACAAGACGACCGCTAGGCCATCTTTCTTTTTTGTTTCCAGTCATTCTAGTCATCAGAAAGTTCACCAAAAAAGTGATATTAGCGAATTCTTAAAAAAAAATCCAAAGAAATCCAAAAAATCGTAAGACGAAGGTGGTTTGGAGGTTATCTTGACGAGGCGCACCTTCCAGTATTTTTCTTCTAATTTTTTGAGCACTTCTGAAAATCAGAGTTACTGGTCATCATCTTCCTCAGGAATTTTTAATGGTGTGACCCTCTTGTGATAATGGAGTTCAATCACATGAACTACTATGATTAAAAAAAATGAAACACGTGACTCTATCTGAAAACGAGCCCAACTACAGGAACATTTTCCGTAATTTTCCCTAATTTTTTTATAATCCAAAATCAGCCAATCCAGTCATTTCAGCCAGAACTTCATAAATTTCAGCAGAATTAGCCGATTCAACCAATTTTAGTGTTACCAAACGGTGTTAAAGTATTTGTCCTACATCGAAAAGCTATAAAACAATAAAACACTATATAAGACTTTGAGCTACTCTTTCCTATCAAAGTCCTTAACAAACGGGCTCTAAATCTACAATTTTATGTATTACTCCCTCTGTCTCATTTTACCTGTCTTACTTTTTTTTGAGTTGTCCCAAAATAAGTGTCACATTTCCTTTTTGGAAAGAAATGTGATTCACAACATTTCACTTTACTATAATCAAATATCAACCACAACTTTTACATTTTCAACTATTTTATCAAAAATTGTGCCAAAACCAAAGGTGACACATAAAATGGAACCGAAGTGGTAGTAAGATATACTCCGTAATTAAAAAGTAAAAAAAAAAAACATTGAACTTATTTTGGACAGATGGAAGTATTTTCTTTTTCTTAAAATACCTAGCTTCCAAATTAAAGCTAAAGAAATGTCACACTGCCACCATAGAAGGATGGAGTACTATAAATATATAATCATATATCTCGATCTGATCTCCATTCTAACTTCTAAGGCTCACTTACGTTAAAACAAATCACATACCCCTAATTAAAATGGCCGAAAATGGTGTCTGTTGTGCTGCTATGTATCTTTGCTTAGGTGTTATAGCAGCGGTTCTTGGATTAGTCACAGCATATCAAGTGAAACCGGAAAGGGTATGTACTTAATTATCTGATTGATTTTTATACATGTGTATGCATTTTAGGAGTAGCGTTTCTATCAGGCCAACTCTATGAGCCCGTTTGGTAGCACGAAAATCGGCTGTTTTGGCTGATTCTGCTGAAATTTCTGAAGTTCTGGCTAAAGTGGCTACATTGACTGATTCTGTTGATTTAAGAAACAATTATTTTTAAAATATATTTTATTAATAAAATAAAAAAAAATATGTAAAAATAGCTAAAATGGTCATCTACAGTAACTTCAGCCAAAACAGCCAGAAAAGTAACTACAACCTTACTTTTTCCGCTTATTACACAACTCAGCGTGAAAAAGTTGGCTGATAAGCCGAAAAACAGTGCTGCCAAACGGCCTCTATATATGACCAAAAATGAAGTTTGCGAGCGTGACGGGAATTTCGTGAGGCTGATCTGATACAGGGATGAATTTAAGGGGGGCGGGGGGCGACCGCCCCCCTTGGACTTTCAATTTTTTTTACTATATATGTATATTTTCATACTTTAGTTATATATATATATATATATATATATATATATATATATATATATATATATATATATATATATATAGGTTTTGGTTCAAATAAGAACATGATCTTATGAGAAAAATGAGAACGAATCTGGACCGTTAGATTTGCTTCAAGTGAAATTCAGTGTGCATTAGATGAAACTGTAATGTGCATTAGGTGAAATTGAAATGTGCATCACAAAGGGTACGATAGAGTGCCATTATGTGCAGTTGAATTGTGCATTACGTGAAATTGAAATGTGCACTAGGTGAAGCTGAAATGTGCAGAATAAAAAGTACGATGTGATGTTGTTTTTGTACTTTTTTTTCGCACATATCAGTTTCATCTAATGCACACTTGAGCTTAAATTTTTATTTTGCACATTTCAATATCATTTAATGCACATTTCAGTTTCACCAAATGCACAATTTGGTTCCACATAATACAATCCAACGGTCCAGATTCGTTCTCATTTTTCTCCTAAGATCTGTTCTTATCGGAACCGCTCCATATATATATATATATATATATGTTTTCGCTCCCCTGATCTTTTAGTTCTCAAAATAAATATATAAGCTCACATGATGTAATACTTAATTGGACATTTAAAATAAGTAAAATCTAAAATAATTTAGATAATTTAAAAAAATAAACAATAGAACAACTCATTGTTTAAGATCGACTTAGGATACCTATTATATCAAAATTCTTAGTTTTGTAATGTTTAATTGTCTTTATTAGATAATTAGTACTCGATATGTAAAATATCAATGATAATATCAGACAGAATAGTTAAACAGTTTTTAGATAATGTAAAGTGAATCCAAAATATAAATGTTTTTTGACACTAAATTACACAATCAATTTACTTCTTACTTTGTAAAAACAATTTGTTAAATAGATAATAAACTTTAACTTATTTTAGCACTAATACAGATATAATATACACCATGTATATTGAATTAACAATACCACGTATCATATTATTCTAAAACTAATAATCTCATACATATTATTGTAATATTAAGAAATTGCAATTCATGAATACCCTCATTCGTAGACAAAAATTGCAATTCAAAAACCGATTTTTTATTCTGATAAGATTCATGTTGTTAAACAAAGCAGAATTTTTTTAAAAAACATCGGTCCATGTGTACTTTTTAAACTCTTTACCTTCAAATAATTTGATAAAATGTTATATCCTTTCTTATATTCAAATAATTTTATAGAGCACTAACAATTATTAAATCAAAGTTATTTTTCCATTGTCTAAATTAGAATGTAATATAATAGATTTAAATTTCATCGTGTGTTTAGTCATGGAATTTTTTGAACAAAATCTAGCCGCAGAGTCCTACACTAGCGAAAAACTTTCGCCCCGCTACACTAGTAAATTTTTTATTGCCCTGCTACACTAGAGGAAATTTTTTCACCCCTACACCAATGAAAAAAATTTCGCTCCCCTTGACTCGAAATCCTGGATCTGTCCCTGATCTGATATGAACGAAGAACGCCACTCCGTATTTCAGTACTCTGCATATATATATATATATATATATATATATATATATATATATATATATATATATATATATATATATATATATATATATATATATATATTAAAGATCAAATGAGAACAAGGCTTAACGTGAGAACATCAAATTTACCCCGATGTGATGCACAATGAGGCTCGCCTAATGCACTTTTTCACGTTCAGCATAATATTTACCAAAATGCCACCGTTAATATTTATATTGGCTTGTTTGGAGCAAATTCAAAATGTGCATTGGTTAAATTTGAGTGTTCTCACGTTAAGCATTGTTCTCATTGGAACCACACCACATATATATATATAATAAAGATCAAATGAGAACAATGTTTAACGTGAGAACACCACATTTACCCCAACATGTTGCACAATGAAGCTTGTATATTGCACATTTTCACATTTTCACAATATTTACCAAACTGCCACCGTGTAATATATATATATATATTGACGCAGTCAACTTCAAAAAATGATTTGAATGCCTTCCCGATCGAATTTTGAGCTAAAATTTGGTATGGACAAACTAGACTTGATGAGAAACATGCTCAAAACATTTCATCAAAAAATTCCACCGGGAAGGTGCCCAAACGGGCTCGGCCGGATGCAGCATCCCGTCAGGCCGGCCTGACAAGAAGACCACTCTCTCTCTCTCTCTCTCTCTCTCTCTCTCTATATATATATATATATATATATATATATATATATATATAGGGAGCGGTTCCGGTAAGAACGGATCTTAGGAGAGAAATGAGAACGAATCTGGACCGTTGGATTAAATTATGTGGAACTGAATTGTGCATTTGGTGAAACTGAAATATGCATTAGATGATATTGAAATGTGCAGAATAAAAATTTAAACTCACATGTGCATTAGGTGAAACTGAAATGTGCAGAATAAAACGTACAAAAATAACATTATATCGTACCTTTTATTCTGCATATTTTAGTTTCATCTAGTGCACATTTCAATTTCACCTAATGCACAATTTAGCTTCACATACTGCCACTACATAGTACCTTTTGTGTTGCATGTTTCAATTTCACCTAATACACATTACAGCTTCATCTAATGCACATTGAATATCACATAAAGCAAATCTAACGGTCCAGATTCATTCTCATTTTTCTCATTTGAACCAAAACCAATTTATATATATAGAGTCATGTTCCTATTAGGAGCTCCTGAAGAGAAGCTCCGTGCGGACAAGCCCATCAGAGGGTCTTCCCGGTGGCATTTTGTGATGAAATTTTTTGAGCATGTTCCTCATCAAGTCTAGTTTGTCCATACCAAATTTCAGCTTAAAATTTGATCAGGAAGACAGTCAAATAAATCCTGGAAACATACTGCACATTATATGTGCGCAGAATGCGCCATATTTTTCCATGATTTATTTGACTGCCTTCCTGATCTAATTTTGAGCTGAAATTTGGTATGGACAACTAGACTTGGTGAGGAACATGCTCAAAAATTTTCATCAAAACATTCCATCGGGAAGACCTTCCAATGGGCTTGTCCGCACGGGGCTTCTCTTCGGGAGCTCCTGATGTGAACTGCTCTCTCTCTCTCTCTCTATATATATATACATATATATATATATATATATATATATATATATATATATATATTACACACACTCTTAAGGAAAATTTTGAGTTTGCATCCCACTTTTGGGTGATATTGGACTTTACACCTCATTTTCAAATTTTTTAACATTTTGTGAAGAAAATTTCTTGAATGAGCTGCAACGTCTAAAAATTTTGAAAATGAGGTGCAAAGTTCGATCAGTATCATCCAAAACACGGGGTCCAAGGCCAAATTATCCCTACTCTTAATTAAGACAATTAATTGTTGTTGTGGTTTTGGAATAAGTAGGTTACAGTGACGTCGGAGACAGTAACTGGCCACTGCTTTTCTCTCATTGTGGCTATTGAAGTGGTGCTAGCAATAGTGGCTCTTGTGGGCGATCAAATAGTGGCTCCAGCCATTTTTGCAGTTAACGGACCAAATGGTGATGGGAATGCTCGACCAAAGTATATCAAACTAATACTCAAAATCTTTATTGGCTGGACCTTGTATGCCTTTTTTACTTTCTTTTCTTCTGTTCTTCTATTGGATGGGGTATTTCCGGGAGATTTAGGAGTAAATAGCTTTTAGAATTCCAAAATGAATAAATTACACAAATATAACTCATTTTCACCTTACTAACAAAAATATTACCACCGTATAAAATGAGTTAAAGAGCTTTTTGAGTTAAAGTCTCCTTCTCCGAAAGTAAGTCTCTCGTGCTTATCAATGTATCTCTCGTGCACAAACAATCAATTCCATTCATTATACTATGTCCAATATCATGTCATGTACCAAATCATTATCAAATACATGACTAAGTCATGTAGCAAATCATTAATACCGTTTCAGGACCTAGTCAGGATCATTACCAACAACTCATTACTAACTCCCAAAACTCTAAACTTAATTACCGGTACTACCAAACGAATAATTACTACACAATCATGACCAAATTCATCTCTACCAAATTACATACATTTTTTTATTCATTACCCCCACACCATTACTATCAAATCACGTTCTAAAATTCATTATCGTGAATCACAAATCATGCTTTAAATTCATTTCTACATTCTTAATTACTGGAATAACATCAACGGTTAATCAAAGAACATCATATTCATATGTGACCTATTTATCCGCTAATGAATACACTAGAATTCCTGAAATTTGGCCGTTTCCATAACTGTTTTGGGGCACAGAGGTAATTTCGCTCATTACTAAAAGTTTGGCATACGTGTTTCTTAGTTGTAGTCATATTAATGTAAACCCAAATAGTAGTAGTAATATTTATATAAAAAACTCTTCCAAATTATAGTTGATATGTTTTTCTTCATGAAATATGAGTAATATGGCGGTATTTACTTTTATTAATGACAGTATTTTTCAATCATGACACTATTTTTTTATTATCATGTTTACTTCTATTTCCAAAAGAAAAACATAGCAGTCCTATTTTGGAATTTCAAAATGGTTTTAGTTTATTTTGGGCCGATATTTCTTTGAAATTGTGGTTTATGAACTCAGGATTTTTGGGGTAACAAATTGGGAATGATCATAAGCAGGGATGGATTTATGGGGGTGTGCGGGGGACGACCGCCCCCCTTGGACTTTCAAAATTTTCTGTTATATACGTAGTATATACGAAGTATATATAGGGTGTGGTTCCAGTGAGAACACTCCGTAACGTGAGAAATGAGAACGCTCCAAAACGATGTACTTTATCCTTCACGAAACTGCACATTTATAGTTAAAGTAATGCAAAATTCTAATGTGCACATTTACGTTTAAAATTTTGCACAAACGAAATGCACATTTTCCAATTTTTTATATGCACGTTTCTGTTTTACATGATGCACAATTCTCAAATCCAACGCTCCAGAATCATTCTCATTTCTTTCCTAAGATGGTATTCTCATTTGATCCTTACCCTTTATATATATATATATATATATATATATATATATATATATATAGAGAGAGAGAGAGAGAGAGAGAGAGAGAGAAGATCTAGTGAGAAGTGCCCCTTAAAATGAGAAGTGAGAAGTATAACTAGTCTGGTCTAGTAAACGTCTGGTCTCTGTGTATTTTATAACTACGGAAGTCTGGTCTGGGACTGAAAACACCCCAAAAGAAAAAAACCTTACTAGCTTTAAGTAGACCAAATTAAATTAGATTGAATTTAAATAGATCCAACAAAATTCCAAATATATATAGAGATTTTTTTTTTGAAATATAACTAATGAAAAAGAAAAATGCTAAAGGTACCCCAATTTGTACCTCATCCTATTTTTGTGGCTCACAAAAGCACCTCATTAAAGTTGAGCAATTCATTTATTGAGGTGGGCTTTTGTGAGCCACAAAAATAGGTTGGGGCACAAATTGGGGGTACCAATAGCAGGGTTGAATGAAAAAATATGAACAAAAGTGTAAGTAATAATAATTAGGGGGAATTTGACTTTGCACCCCACATTTGGGATGAAATTGGACTTTGCACCCCATTTTTTAAAAAAAACTTTGATTTTGCACCCTATTTCACTTCAAAATTCTTTGACTTTGCACCCCATTTTGAAATTTTCCTTCACAAATGTTAGATGATAGGGTGCAAAGTCAAATGTTTTTCAAAATGGGGTGTAAAGTCCAATATCATCCAAAAAGTGGGCTGCAAATTCAAATTCTCCCTAATAATTATTATGAATAAGTTTTATAGTCATAATAAGTTTGATAGTCATAATGATGTAACACTTGAATACAATTACAATTATTAAAATTACTATAGTATGCTTTTATTTTAGTTATATATTTGGAATTATTTCCTATATACTCCGTATATTGTATCTGCAGTGTTGCGATTGCAGGAGGAGGGTGTTTATTGGTTCTTGGATTTATTTACCTAAAAGGACAAAAATGCGGGACTTTGGTGCACTTCAAGATATTACTCGCAGCAGGAATCGTTTGCTTTGTTCGATTTTTCGGTGTCATGTTATACTATGTGATTGCCATATTGAATCAAGGCTCCTCTAATGTTTCCACTAGTGCGCCTTCACTGCTCAGATTGCCTAGCTCAATAGTTTGGTTTTGAAGGACGTCGATTTTTAAATTTGGAATGAATCAGAGCCTATTAGTCATTCTAAATCTATCAATGTTGGTATGATTAGCCCGGTCACAATGGCTGCCAAATCAGGGTTTTTCGATATATTCACCGACTTCTATATATATATTCACCAAATTCTAATGAGAACACTTCTTATTATGAGAAGTGAGAACAATCATATCCAATTAGTGGCGAATCTAGGAAAAATATTCATTGGGAGCAGAACAAGATGAAATTAATAGCACATTTGCTAACATTGAAATTGACTGTAACGACTAAATGTGTTGACAATTGTGAAATTTTAATTAAAGCGTCTAAATTGAATGAATATGCTAAATTATGAACAAATTGTATTTAAAGTATGTTCTATTACAAAAGTAAAGAAAATGAGATATGAAAAATAGAAACAATGGTCATTTTTACCATATTCAATCGATTCAGTCAAAAAAGTAGTTTCGATTTTACATATTTTGATTATTTCACAATTTAGAATGTGAAATCAAAAGTTATTAAACAACACCTATAACTCATTATACAATGCATATTTTGAACTTAATCATGTAAAAAAACGATTCTATATAAATAATTTTGGTGGTGAAAATCCAATTTAAATCAGTTAACTAAAATTATTTTTCTTTTAAGTATCAATAATTTGAGTTTGAAGGGGGTGTTTGGAATTGATTCTGCTTCTTTTTTAAAGTAGAAGCAGAATTATTATTTTTTTGGATAAAATGTAAATATATATATCCAAAGTGTATATGTACATCTGTATAATATCAGAACAGATCGTATGGGTCATCCCAAGTAAGGATACCCAGTCACCTCCCAAAAACCACCTATAGCTACGCAATCACAAAACATGGTGACGAATCAGCAAAAATCAAAATGTTATCCTATCTATTGGATACATGTAATATAAGATTTTATACACCATAAACTTGATATGTTTAGCCATATCTAACACAGTCGTCTTGGCCTTCTCAAAACAAATCAGATTTCTCATCCTCCAAGTCCAATAGATGGTGTAGCAAAAAGAGAGCCTCACGGCCTTGGCCTTAGCATTTGCTCCATGATGTTCCTTCTTGATCCATTTGACCGCACTTGAAAGTGTAGTCATCTGTCTAGATAATCCAAGCCAGTCACGAACCATGTTCCATACCTGCCCTGTAAATGCACATTCAAAAAATAGGTGTGGCACCGTTTCCGGGTCACCCTTACAAAAATGACAAGTATTTACCACATCAAGATAACCTAACCTATCATACGTAGCTAGTCTTCCCCGGAAGGCAAGCCACGTAATGAAAGAGAATTTAGGTGGAATATAGCTCTTCCAAATAAAGGACATCCAGGGGTGCACCGTACCCTTAATTCTGAGTAAATCATACACCTTTGAAGAAGAAATTTTCCCATTTTGGGAAAACTTTTCAAGTTGAACTACGGCCATGTCCAAAGAAGGGAACTTGGAAACAATCAAATCCCGGATATTGGCAATTGTCTTCATAAGCCGTGAGTCCTTGGTGTGTGGCCCAAACGTCCACACATCTCTTCCATGAAGATAAACCCCATGTACCCACTTTACCCATAAAGTTTCTTTTTTAGCATGAATATTCCAAAGGGTACGAGAAAGTAATGCATTATTCCAAACCTTTGTATCCCTAATTCCCAATCCCCCCTCATTTTTTGGTAAGCACACGTCACTCCATGCTACCTTAGCACGCTTACTTCCCCACAGAAATAGTCTACATAGGGAGGTAATCCTATCAAGGATGGCCCTCGGCATAGGAAAAATACCTAGCCAAAAGGATTGGACCCCCTGCATGACGGATGAAATCAACTCAACCTTCCCGGCATAGGATAGAGTTTTTGAGTTCCATGCCTCTAGATAAGCCGTAACCTTGTCAATCAATGGAGCAAATTGAGCTACAGATATGTTCAAAGGAGCCAAAGGAATACCCAAATATCTTACCGGAAAGGATCCTTGTTGAAAACCTACCCTTTCAAGAATATAAGGAATTCTACTTTCGACATTTCCACCTAAAAAAATATTAGTTTTATCAAGATTTACCATAAGACCGGAAGCTAATCCAAAGTCGTTCAAGGCATCCACTAATATTTTAATAGATGAATAATGACCTTTAGAAAAAATCATCAAATCATCTGCATAAGCCAAATGTGTTATTTTAAGCTTAGAGCATAAAGGGTGATACCGGAAATTAGGATTAGATGTCCTATTTTCTATCAACCTTGAAAAATACTCCAAACAAATAACAAACAGTAACGGAGACATTGGATCTCCTTGCCTTAACCCTCTTTTCCCCTCAAACCATCCATGGAGAGTGCCATTAATGGAGATGGAAAAAGAAGAGGTTGAGACACACTCCATAATCCAACCAACAAACAAATTTGGAAGCCCAATATCCAACAACACTTTTCCAAGAAAATCCCATGATACCGTATCATAAGCTTTTCTAAGGTCAATCTTAATCATACATCTAGGTGAAGGCCTTTTCCTAGTGTATCCCCTCACTAACTCTTGTGCCAAGAAGATGTTGTCAGACATTAATCTCCCATCAACAAAAGCTCCCTGTGCTGGGTTGATAACACTAGAAAGTAAAGGACCTAGACGTGATGAAAGAATTTTTGTGATAGTCTTATAAGTCACATTTGTACATGAAATAGGCCTAAAATCCGAAACAGTGGGGGAGTGAGTTGTCTTAGGAATAAGTGCAACAATGGTGTGATTGACCTGTTTCAGCATATTCCCAGTCTCAAAGAACTCCCTCACCGCACTACAAACATCTTCACCAACTTTACTCCAATTTGCTTTAAAGAAAGCTGATGAATATCCATCCGGACCAGGGGCTTTATCATCACCAATATCAAACAAGGCTTGTTTAATTTCCAAATCAGTAACAGGACTAATAAGGTCAGCCGCAAGTGATTGATCTATGGTCTTTCCTGATAAAATAATCCCCGGGTCATATCCCACCATAGGTACATTCGTACCAAATAAATCTTTAAAAAATGCTGTGAACTCATTTGCTACGTGATCCATGGATTTAGTAAGACTACCGTCCTGTAATCTCAAGGAAGCAATAGAGTTTTGAGCATTTTTCTTTTTCACAATAGAGTGGAAATATTTAGTACACCTATCCGATTGAAAAAGATGGACAGCCTTAGCCTTCTGTCTGAGATAGGCTTCCTCGGCTTCCCTAAGAAAAAGAGCTCTTTTCTTAGCACATTCCATTTCTTCTTTTAAGGCATCATCTAAAGGAGATAAGAGGGCTAGTTGATAGATTCTCTTATACTCCCTTTTGGATTCCTTTGCCCTAGCCGAGATGTGACTAAATTCAACTTTGTTGAGTGTTTTTAGGGGTTGTTTTAGTAATTTAAGTTTACGGGCAAGCCTAAACTGAGCGTTACCGACAACATTCCTAGACCAAACACTCTCCAAAATATCATTAAAATGTTCATGCTTTTGCCACATATTAAAGAACTTAAACGGTTTTGAGCCCCCCTTAGTCACGGCACCAATAGTTACAAGGGTTGCGACATGATCAAATTCACACTCCATCTCAAAAAAATGAGCCCTACACTCTACATTTTGTAGATTCCAAAAAGAGTTAATAAGAATTCTATCAAGTTTTGCCCAAATTGCATTTCTATGCCAAGTATAAAGTTCACCCGTAGAGGGAGCATCAAAAACATGAGATTGCATTTTCATGTCATTCAAGTCTTTCATTGCATAGGCCGAAGGGGGGGCTGACCCCCTTCTCTCATTTGGAGATCCTACACAGTTAAAATCACCTAAAATTACCCAAGGAGCAAGTATATTTTGGCTCAAACCAGTAATATGCTCCCAAAGTTCCCTCCTTTGCACAATAGTATATAAAGCATAAATAAACGTTACGTAAAAAGACATTTGCGTGACCCTACAAGTGAACCGAACATGTATGTGTTGTTTATCCACTTGTAAGACCACTCCATCGACAAGATTTGGGTCCCAAATGACAGCCATGCGGCCACCACTTATCTTGTCAAAGTTAGTAATATACATCCATGAATTAAGCCTAACATTCAAGAATTTATCAAAGGTGGAAGGAGACATCTTTGTTTCAAGAATACAAAAAATACGTACCTTATTCACTCGTGCGAAAGTAGCTATTGTCTTTTGTTTTGAGGCTTGATTAAGCCCCCTTACGTTCCATGAAGCTAAAAACATTAAAAATGTTTATCCTTCCCCCCCCCCCCCCTCCTCTTGTACGGCTTGTTGTTCTCTCTATCTCTTTTTACCCACTCTCGGTAAGTATCACAACCTTTATACCTATCAAGGAAAAGGGGATAAACTTTAAGAAAAAATGGATAAAAGAAATCATACCCATCCTCCGTGCGGACAGCCCCCGGTAGAGAATCCAAGCAAGCACTTGTGAATGTTATTCCATCTCTCTTAGCTTTCCCATCAATATCAAGATAATTATCAAGTCTTGTCATCATCTCCTCAATGTGATCCGCATGCCTTAGGTGGACTTTATAGTCTCCATTCTCTTCAAACTCAACCTTGGTGACCACCTCATCAAGATAAGCCTCTCTCATGTCATCAACCACGCGAGTGATCTTCTTCTTTACCATAGTAGGATGCATAACTTTGCTCCCGTTTCCCATAGGATGTCCATCCTCATAGTATCTATCAAGGAAGTGCCTATATACTCCTCTCATAAACTCCGTTGTAAAGCCATAGTATCTCTTTGTTTTCTTCACTCCGGATAAGCTTTCTAGACATGCTCTTGTAAACCATACCCCGGGCTCATTGGCCTTAACCATCTTAAGAAGGTGATTAAGCCGAATGGTTGGTTCTTTGACATCATCAAAATGTTCAACTTTGAAAGTGGGTTGTGTATATTCATCCGTGATCATGCTAACAATGACCTCATCATTGTAAATATCCCTAAAGTCTTTGATCTTTCTCAGGACATCCGCCTCTTCTTCCTTTGTTTCATAACCGGATGATATTTCCCCTTCCTCTTGTTGCTTCTTCTTTAGCCTTCTCCTTTTGTTGAGCCTAACCACTTTCATGAAAGGATGGTGGTCCTTCTTCTTCATTAGAGCCTCGGTTGTTATCTTTTGTGCCGCAGCCTTAAGTTCTGCCCCAGCCTTAAGTTCTGCCCCAGCCCTGCCCTTTGCCGCGGCCATATGT